GCCCTGGAGTTTTTAATGACCACAGAGAGTCAGGACCTCAGTTTAACATCTTATCCAAAGGACAGCGCCTGTTTAGTATAGTGTCCCCGTCACTATACTGGGGCTTTAGGACCCACATAGACAGCAAGGTGAGCGCCCCCTTCGGGCCCCATTAACACCTCTTCCAGCAGCAACCTTAGTTCTTCCCAGGAAGTACTGGCCAAGCTCACACCTGCTTCACTTCAGTGGGCTGCCAGTGTGAGTTGCAGGCTGAAATAACTGCTGACTAGAGCTGGAAAGACTTTCACACAAATTGCAGTTGCCTGCTGCACACATAGTGCCCACAGATTCTGTAATGTGTGTTATATTCTGAGCTTCATGTTGTCCCTATGCACTTCCTACAACCCACCTCTGCATTCAATAATGTCATTTACTTGTACTTAATTTTGTAAAATGACAAAATGCTGCATACACTACAAGACCTGGACACTCATACTGAAGATTTCTAGGGCAAAAAGAATGATAAATGACAGCAAAAAGGAAGCATCAAAAAATGAAATATTGTGATTGTGGAATTGTGAGACCTGTAAATTCAATATTTGGTAGAAGTGCTGTACCCCTGGCAGCAAGACTTACAGCCATAAGTATTTTGTAACAGTTTGCATCCAGATCAAAAAGGTACTATCTGACCACAAAACGCTGACATGTTTGCAGCACCATTTACTGTACGTGCTTTGTTGCAAGCACCATATGGGATCCGAGATATAATCATTTTTTTTCAGTTACATACAACCCCCGTTGGGGGAATGGCGAGGATACTGTTGATCCACAGACATTTTCTCCCATCTCAGCCACTGGGCTCTGTAATTAGCTGCTGGCCTCATGGTGACATCTCCAGCAGTGTCCCTGTTGCCTGGTTGCTCAGCTGGAAAGGACAGCGTGATTTAGGCAGTGCCGTCCACTTCTTAATGACTGACTTCACCAAGCTCACGGCAATGTGTAAAAATGTGTTTATCCCCTTCTCCAGGTCTGTGCTTTATGCAACATATACTGTATTATGCAATCATATGAACCACTATTACTACTCACAAAGGCCACTCATCTAAATGTGCAGCTCATTCAGCTAATTGTAAGGTAAATTAATTTAGGTTTACCACAGCAAAGAGTCTGAATACTTATACGGATGAAAAATGTCATTGCATTATTTGTTTTACCTATCCCTGTTTATCTGTTTTGAAATGTGTGAAATAGGTTGTGTATCTAACAAATGTTCAGGAATTATTTTGCAAGGCACTGTAACGAAATATTGGGATTAAAGAATAACTTCTCTGTTCAAGAACTATAGATTGCAGATGAAGTGGTGTGCAACCCTAGCTTTGAAGTTACATCACAACACTAATTATCCAGAAAGAACAGAGCAGTACAGATGCTAGTGAGCTAATGAGACACGGGTAAAGATTTTCTCAGTAACCATGAAGCACAAGGCTTCCGGGAGGTAAGCTAAAGCTTCTTCTTGTGACTGCAGACTGGCTGTAAAATGAAAACTGGTAGCACTACTTGCAAAATGACTGCTGGGGCGATTTAAAATCACACTTGTGCCTTCTGGCCTTACATATGAGCAGACATTGATTCTATTTAATATTTATACGTATTCCAGATGATTGAATCATCAAATCAATAGCATACGGGATTGTATTTACCTGCAGCAATCCCAATTATTAACCATTATGAACAGTAATGGTTTTCAGATTCAAACTCAATTGGCCTTAGACATCTCTGCTGCTCAGGGCCAGAACAAGACAGCTGTGTAAGACTTGGGGGTCTTATTTGGGGGGAATTTGAAATTGATGCAGGAAAATGCCCCAGTTTTGGTTGTGTACTCAGTCTGTAAAAGTTATTATAAATGTAAAATAATCAAAAAAAGCAGGTTTTTAATGATCCATTAGAAATAAGATTCCATCTATATACCAGCCTGCAAAAAAACTCTTAAAACATTGATATACTGTAGTGGAGAAATATCAATGTTTAAGTAATACTGACAGGTAGGAGCAGTAAGTGGCATAAGCAAAAGTTAATTAACTTATGTCACCATTAGTGACAACTTAGCTGACACTATCGATAATGTGTAAAAATGGTTGTTTTTATTTTTCATTTTTTGTTTTTTAAAATCTATCATTTTAAAGCAGCCCATAATGTTAAACATTACTTAACGGTTTAGTTAAATTACTGAAGGATCAAGAGACGACAGAAGATCCTCAGTAGGGGTGTATGGTAAAGTTTATTATACATCACTTCACACGTGACAGAGAAAAGACCGAACAATTTGTTGTTTTGTGTCTCAACTGTTCTGCTCTATATTTCAAGTGTTGCACACGGCTGAGATTTAAAAGCCAAACCAAGAATCTTAACTGAAATTCTACTTAACGCCTTCCTAAAAGCGGCTTAGCTTCCCCCAAGTTTATTTAAAAAGTTGTGAAAACGAACGGTTTTGTAGCGCTAGATTGAGCACGTTTAACCTGAACGTATTTTAATCATCGATCGACAAACAAAAGTGCTTCCAAAACGATAACACGACAGAAGACGAGACCCGCCTCTCAGAAGAGCTCGCCTCCCCGCGGTGTCGAGGAACTGAGCGCTGCGGGTGTCAACAGGTTTGCTCCGAACTTCAGTGCGCGCTTCGGTGGAGCCCGGACACACGCCCAGCAGAGAAAAGAAACCTGATTGTAACGAGAGGGTCGACTGCGTTAAAAACCAGATATTATCTTTCGTGAAGTCAGATTTTTGTACTGTGCGTAAATAACTGTTTCCACTGAAGATTCGCGGAACCTGGGTCTTGATTTGCAAAATGTTGGTGCGTTCACATGCAGTGCCCAACGTGGCTGTACTGTTGAAGACACGATAAAGTGGCACAGGTACGGTGCAACAATGTATTAAAAATAAATTAATATTGTAAAAAAAAAAATCGTACCTGTTAAGTACTGCATTTCCCCCCCGGTACGATACAATGTGTGTTGTACTGGGCTTTTATGTAATATTGCACAAAACTTAACACCGAAGGAAAGAAAAGGTCTGTCCCATAAAACACGTCTTTTTTTTGAGGAAAACATACTGCCACATGCAGGACACTGACCCCCTAAACAGCGATAAGCCGGGTCGTATTTTGTGACGAGAGGGCGATATTCACTGCGTTCAGTCTTCGACGTGTGTGTACCAGGGCTGAGCCTCGTCAGGCGCCCAGCAGACATCGAGCAGCCCCGCATTTCTCATTTCTGAAGGCGAGTTTGGTTGCAGAAAGTCCGTCCATAAGAGCTTCGGGTTACCTTACAAGTAACTCAAAGTCATACGCAGTATTATCACAGAGAAGAGAAATACGTGTTAATCTTCAGGATGTTGTCGCTAAGTACAGTATAGTGTTCAGAGCTTTCGAGGCTGATTTTACAAAAAAAAAGTCCACCTTTTAAATTGGAATCACAAGCCCTTTGCGTCTCCACTAAATACCTAATTAGCAAAACCTTTGAGTGCGGGATGCTTTAAATACATATTATTAATGAAGATGTAGTTAAAATGTCAAGCTTGCAATTATCTGCACGGTACATCTCGGTTCAGTTGAGTAGACTGTCTCAATCAACAGCTGGCCAAAATCAATGCGCCTTACTGTAAACTACACAGGACTGAAATGCGAGTTAAACGGGCTTGAGGATTTGTCATAAACGTCACCTGTTAACTCCGATTGCGAGATAAGTGCGGTACCACACGCAGCGCCAATGGTGTTAAGTGAAAAGCAAGTCGCCCTCTTGGGCGATCGGTAGACTTTTGGCGATTTTAACCGAGGAGCACAGTCGCAACTTTGAACCGGCCAAATGACAAAACTCCCGAAACCGAGCGACGTTAAGTGCGATGCGAACACACTTAACGCCGATAAAGCCGTTTGCCGCAAATAACAGCGAGCTAGACTTCAGAATTTGCGCGGCTGTCAATCTGGTAACGGAGGTGCTGACGGATCTCCCCCTGCAGATATCCCCTTCTCTGGAGTCCTCTGGACAGTGCCCAGATGCGCTAACAACGGCCAGGCGTGCCTCACGCCACAGAATGGTTTGGAAAGTACATCTGCGTGGACATTCCCCGAGTTATATAACTTACCTGTTTGTCCAGAGTTTCCTTGCCCGCCGCGGACATTTTCGGCGCAGGCACCCTCTCGCACGTGCATCCCTCTAACAAATAGATCCCAGCAGGTCTGGCGCTCTGCTCGTTCTCGAAGTAAAAGAGGACATTTTGGTAGAGAGCGAAATACTTTTCGTGCCACCGACTGTTCTCCGCCGTCTTCTTGCTGAGGTAGCCGCGCTTGGTCCCCTCTTTGCGCGCAACCACGGAGAGGTATAAAGCGTGCCCTTCATTGTATCGAACCGTCTTCTGCATTTTCCACCCCGATTAAAAGCGCCGTTCCCTCGACACCATAGCCTTCAACTTTCCCCCGTCGTCGGAGCGAGAAGGGTGAAAAGGGGCGCATTGACGTGCAAGAGAACCCCAAGCTCACCAAGGCGCACGGAAAAGTTTGCGGGAGAGAGCCGCGCCACAAGCCATATCCAAATCAGCCCAGGCGAGGATCTATCCGGAGGAGTAACGGGACCAATCCATGACTGCTTCGTTGACAAAATAGGCACAATTAAGCCAAACCCACAGATAAGAGTGAAGGAAACAAACTGGAATTAAAAGAAGGTCGAAGCTAAACGCAACAGGGAATATTACATATATTTACTGTATATTAGCATCCACCGAACAGACGGTAAAACAGAATCACGAGTGAAATCTGCTTTAATCGGCTTTAACACCAATTTAAAGAGACAGGGCTGGTCGCCACTGGCTGCTTTTATCTTGTGTGGTTCTCGATTTTAAAGGGATGGCACCGCGGTTCAACAAAACCCTCTTTTTTTTTTTTGCATTGCTAGAAAAATAAAGGCGGAGCCAAACTGCTTTGTTCCGTTTAAGTGTCCAGGGTTTTAATTAGGAAGAAGAAAATTGTTGGTTCACAATGCGTCGGCTTGTGTGTGCTTCTCTCTCCCTGTGTGACTGCGCAAACACAACCGTTCATTAGTAACACCATCAAGATTCCGCTTTCTCTTTCTGACAACGACTTTTCGAGTCGCTGCTTCTACTCGGAGATATGAAAGCCACAGGTCCTCAGGAGATAAAAGCCAGTGCCCGCAAATTAGAAGTTAAGAACCTCGTTTTGTTGTATGGTATTACGTCTTCAGCAATGAAAAAAAAAAAGAGAGTACGTGTGCGTCAAGAAAAATAAGAAAAAAAAACATGAATATTTGCAAATTCTGGCAAGAGATTGAATAGCTTTAGAGTCGGTATGAATTTAAAATATTTTTTGTGTGAGTGTTTATATTGACTTGCTAACCTGCTCTTCGCAAGCTTCTGTTAGACGTCAGTATTGTACAATTGTTCTTTCGTCATAAACTTACCTATAGAATGTATTGACACTGTGTGTAATGACGTCGGTGAAAGCTCAAAGTTTATTGTTCTGCACAACGTACAAAGTGAAGGAAGTTTTAAGGTTACAACACCGTACTGTGCGTAATAAAAATTCGCCTTTTACGCGTCTCGGAGTTTTTAAAAACAGTTGTATAAAATCGCTGCCGTCGCCTGGAATGAGCAACATTTCTAAGGGTAAATTCAAGAACCAACGAGGCAATAGATGGGTGTTTTATTTAGCGTGAATAGCCCTTAAGATAACTCCCTAACAACATGATTGTACACCTTTTGACTCAAAGATTTAACCTCCCTAAAAACAGAGGAAAAGCACAGACGTCAGCCCAGGTGAGCAGTAGGTGGATCTACAGTAGCTACTGTACCAATTAAGTAACTTCATTAAGATTCAATTACAAGACCTGTGTGCTGAACTATAGTAGAACTCCATAAAACTTGACAACTGAGGGTGGGATTGCTTCACCACGAAAGGGATCTAACTCGATCATGATGCTTAGGCTCCAGTGCAGACGCCGACTGAGAGAGGCCACGAAACTGGTGTCATGTTTTTTTGTTTTTGTTTTTTTTACCGCGGTCACCTGCAAGCAATAGTTATAATAAAGTAGTTCAGGTGGGTAGCTGCGTCAGCATGCGTAGGCTGCAAAGGAACAAGTAATAGGTTTATTCCATGCTGAAAAAGAAGAAGAAAGAGAACACAACGTTTCGGCCGTGGAGCCGAAGGTGAAGAAGGCTCCACGGCCGAAACGTTGTGTTCTCTTTCTTCTTTTTTTTTCAGCGTGGAATAAACCGATTAATAGTTATAATAAAGCCAGCCAGTCTTTCTGGCAGGCTGATGTCCGCTTCTAAGAGTAAGGCAAGCATCGCAGCGCAGTCATTAACATCAGCCACAGACTCTGCACCTGCCGGTTTCGAGTACACGCCACGTTCCCTAGACAACGGCAAATTCCGCTACGCGACCAGGACCGGGTCCGCTGCTCTCGGACAATTCTACCCAGTCGTGAAGGATTCGAGGGGTGACGTCACTACGTAACGTTCAGTGCCGCTGAGCCCTGTTACACCGGGGACGGTCTGAGTGCAAAATAATAGTCCATAGTCCATTACCGTTGTTAACGGCGTAACTAAATTACTGTATATTCGTTTTCATGACGATGTGGCTGGACTGGACTTCCATTTTGACTACACGGGTTATTGCAGGTTTCAAGCTCTCATGATCAAATTGCAAACACGTTCGGTGGCACTAAAACCTTAGATTTTAAGTCACCTGTAACTTCTATCAGAGAACAGGTCATGCTGATGGAAATCCGGCTTCAGTCTGTTGAGTCTGAAGTGGAGATAAGTAATGCCATGGACATGCTCAGTCTAGTTGAAGTGCAAGCTGGTTATCAGAGTTCAGACTCAATAGTTTCAGTAGTGAGACCGAACAGTCAGCCTGTCAGTTCCATGGCCTGGCGCTAAGCCAGACATCAGAATGACTGCACTGATATCCGTGTCGCACATTTTAAAACCATGCACTGTGTAACACAACTGAATTCAGTAATTTGGCAGTGTGGTGACTAGTTATGCTGCCTCATAGCAATGGTCCTTGGTTTCTCTAACAGAAGGCCAGTGTGTCTGCTGGCTGTCCAGTCCTGGTCCTGGAGGCTGATGTGTCTGCAGGCTGTCCAGTCCTGGTCCTGGAGGGCCGGTGTGTCTGCAGGCTGTCCAGTCCTGGTACTGGAGGGCCGGTGTGTCTGCTGGCTGTCCAGTCCTGGTCCTGGAGGGCTGGTGTGTCTTCAGGCAGTGCAGTCCTGGTACTGGAGGGCTGGTGTGTCTGCTGGCTGTCCAGTCCTGGTTCTGGAGGGCCGGTGTGTCTGCAGGCTGTCCAGTCCTGGTCCTGGAGGGCCAGTGTACCTGCAGGTTTCCATTTGAGCTCAGCTCTTAACGAGGAAAACCAGTTCGTTACTGGTTTAACTGGATCAGCCCTCTTTAGGAAACAGCGCTTTAAAGAGACCTAGAAAACCTGCGGACACACTGGCCCTCCAGGACCTGAATTAGAGTGCCCGGGCTCAAAACAATGTCTAGACGGTTTCCCGGTTTGTCATAAATATACAGTATTTACTTCATTCTGTACTGTTCTTTTGCTGTTACAGTACAGGTAGTACTTCATTCTCTTTATTTTAGCCTCCTTTTCAATTTCTCTCTTGGCCTAATATTCTTTTTTACCCATGTTTGCAATACATTGTGCATATACTTGAACTGTACCCCGTTGTTTTGAATCATTTTATGAAGTGCTCTCTTTTCCCTTACATTTGTCCTTATTGAGTTGTTGAACCATTTGGGTAACTGTATTTTAACTTTTGATTTACTAACTTCTGAGATACATCTGTTGTTATTCAAGCAGAATATTTTTCAGCTGTTGCCGTCCAGTTTTAATAGATACAATAAATGCAAATGAACTAATCCGAGACAACCACAACCAAAAACATCTTTTTTTTTGCTTGACGGTAAATATACACAGAACATCTTTTCATAATATTCTATAGCTCGTGATGTAGTTTCATTAACAAAGCTGGACTCATCACAACTTTTAGCATTTTTGAAATAAATATTCAAATTGCCTTGGGGGGGGCTCATACCAAGATGTTTATTTTGTTTTGAACTAAGATATGCACAAGGATTTAGAAATAAATCAACATCATGCTACTGTAAACTATCATTTCTACTTCACTGCTGTTTTCATCATTCTGGTTTCTGTTGTTTTCCGCAGAAAGACATTTTCAGAGAGACAGGCCAGGGTATGAGGCAGTAGCTTTCTTCAAGGTGTGGCAGGTGTAGATTGCAAAAAGACCACAAGAACAGTGTTTTTGCAAAATTGAAGAATGACGTTCCCTCAAACCTTGTGTTAAAGACACCTACCTGAAAATGCTTTCTAATTGCCTATGCCTGTAATATCTTCACAAAAATCAAAAGAGAATAATGGGTAAAAAAAAACCCTTTTGATTTCAGCATACTTACCCTTGCTGCCCAAGACCTTTCAACATGCAACAGGCAAATAGCAGGAAGATATTCTTCGGTACACTTTTGCATTGCTCTCTACACTTCATTTAATAAAGCCTGTTAACAGTAGAATAGGATAATAGCAGTGCACAAAAACAAGATTCCCCCTCTCTTTTGCTGTAGGGTTTCTGTCTGTACAAAATAGCTGTGATATGATACCTGTGATATGGCCTCAATGTAAATGTACTGTATGTCTGTGGCTGCACACATAGAGATTGTGTTTGCATCCACCCAGGGGGCTCACTGGATCATGGTTTTTTGGTTCTTTGACAGTGCCACTGCTGGTGATGGTAACTGGATAAGAATTCCCTACATTCATGTAGTGCTTTTCAGCCCAAAGAATTCTAAAGCGTTTCACGTAGAGAACGGTGATACATTTAGCACTGAACTGCATCACCCACCTACTGTAAGTAACACATGATAACCCTTTCGTACTATAAGACATAACAAAAAGGTAGACAAGTGAGTCCAGTAAATAAAAACAATTACATTAGTTGAAGGCCAGATTGTACAATTCCAGAGCAAACTAGGGTTAACACTCCTGCTCCTTACGTACAGTGCCATGGAGATCTTTAATGATTAAGTAGTCAGGACCTCAGCTTAACATTGGAACCAAAGGACAGCACCTTCCACTGCACAGTGTCTCCAGTCAGCACAGTGGGATTGTGTTAGAAAGTCTGGTCAAGAGGAAAGAGCGCCACTTACTGGTTGACCACCACCAGTTGAAGCAGTACCTTGATTTTCCTCGAAGATCTCTCATACTAGTATTGATTAGGCCCAGCTTCTCATAGCGTCTAAGAGCTAATGAGATCAGGCTACACGGTGGTGCTGCTGCTGCTTTCACTATTATCAGACACCAACTATATATTATTTCAACTTATTATTACACAAGTCTTCTATAACATGCTCCAGCTAAGACACCCAAAACTCATCATATACTGTACACCACCTAGGCAATTCAGTAAAAAGGCAGTAAGCGATCAACAGTTAAGTATAAACATATCACAAAGTAGTTGCTTCCCATAAAATCGCGACTCCCTTGAGTGACAGTGACAACATTGATGAAGACCCACCCCTCCTCACCTATCAGTTTATTGAAGAGAGACACCACCTTACTCCTCTCGTTATACTTTAAAGATTTTCTGCTGTTTGAATTAACTGACAAGTTGTGAGACAAAAGTCGCTCCAGAGCACCCCTGAAGATGAAAGTCGGCAGTCTGGGGAAAATAAAACTGCTCCAGCTGTGACACAGAAGAAGCCAGTGTGGAATTAATTTCCTTCTCAAATTGCAAAAGGCTAAGCTTTGTATGTTCAAGTCACTTTGCTATACTCTTCAAAAGAGATCG